ATATATATATATATATATATATTTATTTTTTTAAAATTATAAGAGTGTAGAGACATCAACGGTGAGACCAGGGCGATAGAGAAACCTTTTAAAATAAAATTATTAAAAATGGTCGCATCACTGAAAATATAATAAAAATTAAATTTAAATATTATTTTAATTTTTTGTCCACCTCTATTTTGGTTATTATATTTTCAACTCTAGTCCATTTATTTTCAAAACATATGTTTTACTTCTTACACGTTTAAAAATTTACCTTTTTTATTTTTTTTATTTTAGTTTTGATAACATGAAACCTCATTTATTAAATTCTTTAAAATGTAGCCACAAATTTGTATCGTAAGAATTTCTATGGTATATAAAATGTGTTAAAATTGTAAAATCAAATTGACCATTTTTTTAAAAAGTATAACGACCAAACTAAATAGGTAAAAGTTAAAAATATAGTGACAAAAATCAAGTCCCGCCATTAAAATAGTATTTAAACCTAAAAATTATCATGTTTTGTCCTATTAAAAAGTAAAATAATTTTAAAATGTCACATTGCCGGTGAAAATCTACAGAGATTTTCTCTTTTCCACCTCCACTATGGATCTCATCTTTTTTTTTTTCAAGATCCAAAAGCTTTTTCTTTTAAAATATATATATATACATGAAAAAAACGTCAAAACACTTTTATAATATATTGCATGAATTTTTAATCATGAGAGTTGGTAGATTGGGGATCACGTGACTTGTTTCTTATTTTTACATATGATGCTATTTCTATTATTTATTCTATTCAAGTTTTTTTTTTCTCAATTATTAGTGTTATCGAAAAATTATATTTTTCTTGTTAATTCAGAGTTAGCGTATCATTAAATAATTGTTTTGTTAACCTATTTACACATGTAGATCACCTGAAAAAAAAAGATCCGGTGGATGACCGAGTTGAGCTTCATGTGTTATGTAACATCTAAATGACATATTCCCATATTTAAATAAAATCAAGAAAATAAACATGAAAAATATTTAACTGTGAAATGATGGAAGAGGCAAAATAAAGTTTTTAAAAGTCCGAATTCTCCTCCCCTTGATTTTTGTAGGCCACACTTATACTAAAGTAGGAAATTGATAAAAGAGACTTTCTAAACAAACATTGTCCCATCCCAACCCCATGAAAATGGGACATTTCAAAACAAAACAAAACAAAAATCATTAGAATTCTACGAATCTCTCCTACCACATAGGAACTTAGGAAGCCTTCAATTCCCATTCCCATTCCTCTTTTCTTAGTATTTGACTTTACAAACTCTATTTCAATCTTAAGAAAGACTTTACATTTCATCGACTTTAACTTTTAATTTCACTACGGGGAAAAATTAGGACCTATTTGATAACGTTTCTCGTTTATTATATATTTCTAGTTTGGAGAAACATAAGCATTTTTTTAACTATTAATTGTTGGTTCTTGTTTCTCATTTTTAAGATTCTTGTTTTTTATTCTATTTTTAAAATTTTCCAAAACATAAATAAATGCGTTATTTTATCTAATCTTAAATTAAATATGTTTCTATTAAATGAAAAAAAAAAACAAAGAATTGGAATACTAAATGCAATTATGGTCCCTCCCTTAACATGCTCAGTTAATTGATTTTGTGGTTACGTTGATTTAGGCATTTTTGTGGCTTGGTTTTAAGATTTTTTTTTCTTCTTCTTTTAATATGGCCACTAAATTAATATGGCATTTAGTTTGATAAAATTAGCATCATGAATAGTAAAAATGACAAAACAGTTTCAAAGTTTAGGAAAACTACAAACTAAACAAATGCAAAGGCCTATTTGGAGGAAAGAAAAAACCATTTTACCTTTTAGGAACACAAAGTTGAATAAAAATATTACTTTTGTTTAGCAATGCCAAATGACCTAACCTTTATAAACCACTAAAAAAACACATATGAAAGCAAAATCAAAAGCAAGAAAGCTACTTTACTAAAACAAGTACGCCACGTAAATTTACCGAAATACCCATTGACCATTAATACCAGAACAATCAAAATAAAACGAGCACACCCACATAATCTCAACTTATTGTAACTTTTTTTTTTTCTTTTTGTTATTGATGAGGATCAAAAAAGAAAGTCTCTCTCGATAAAAATAGAATAATACAAGTGCGACTAAGCCAAAACAAGAACAATTAGAAAGAGAAGAAAAACTGACGACTAAGTTTTAAGAGAGAAAATAGAATTAGTGGTAGAGATATGGATCTTTCTGATAGAAGACAATGTTGCCATGATCACTGACGAAGTGGTCTTGTCTTAGGCTGTTCACCAGATTCTTTATCAAATGCAAAGGAATTGGCCCTGATTTCTTTGGCTCTCTGTAGTACTTTCCCAGCACTCCCTTTGTTGCCTTTGTCTGCAAAACCAAACCCCATTTTTTCCACTTTCAATTCTACATCATTTCGGGTCCCATCCGACTAATTCTACACAACAACAATCAAATCGTTCGAGAACCCGTATTCTGTTTGCTCAGAATTTCAAGACCTTCATTGATTAACGTTGAAGTTCGATACTCAAAAGGGGATTGAAGGTAAACTTATGGGTGTTCTTTTTTTTTTTTTTTGGCATCATTGAATGTCTGAGTCTTCCTAAATAGGAGACCGACCAACCAATGAACCACTCATGATGGTTTAAATTTGTTCAGTAAAGTCCTATTTAAGGTAGGTGTAAAAAATTGTTTTTGTTTTTAAAATTTGACCAAAAATTTAAATGTGTTCTTGTTAGGTTGAAGGTCTTGTTTATTAATAAGTTTTAAAGATGATTAATTAGTAAATAATTTCCAAAATCATTATTTAGAAATTTGGCAAAATTCCAAAAGGGAGTTCGTCTCCCAAAGTTGAAAGTTAGGCAAAGAAAACTGTTTAATACTAAACCAAGTATAATTTTTCAAAATTCAAAACAAGACAAACATTGTTTGTCCTTTTCTGTTCTTTTCAAATTCAGGCTTCATAAAACTAATTTTACCAAACATATTCCCAAGATCAGAATTAAAATTAAGGAAAAATAAAAACTCTGAAGAGAAAAAAAAGGAAAATTAAGACAAATACATCAAAATACTAACAAGCTTAAAACTTTACGAAAAAGAAAYAAAATCATTACCAAACGAACCCTAAAAAGGCGCTTAATTTATTTTTTTTCGAAAAAGAATTAAATAAAAGTGTAGGGAAGAGAATGATACCGCTTCTACTAAATGATAGTGAGGGATCTGAGGAAACAGATGGTGGATGACATGAGTCCCAATATCATGATGGATGTTGTTAAACAATCCGTAATCTCGATCAACGGTTGTCAGGCCGCCACGTAGGTA